GTATTTAAGGCCAAACAGGTTAACATGAAAATTAGTTTTCATAGATGTACTTAAATTTCACAGGGATAAAAGTAATTTGTTTTTGTATCTCAACAACATTATTTTCTGACCACAGAAAAGAATGCTAAGTTTCCCATAAACAACTGTTTTAAATATAGTAGATCAGAAAATATGTAATTAACCACAGTGAGAATAAATAAAATGTCAGCTGCAAAGGTTTTATGTTAAATTTGWCACCAAATTCAAGATTTCTAAATCTTGTCCACAAAATACATTAAGTTGAAACAATCTCGCTACAATGCAACAAAAGAATAATAGGTTACAGCTGCATCTTTAGTAATTATGGCTAGATCTTACATTTGCTACATGCATATTTAGTTAAACAAGTAAAACTGATGAATATTTATCATTTGCTGTTATATGTTATGCATGAAATAAAGTAATTAAAAAATAAAATTACTAAACTTCCATTTTTTAGCTGTCTTCCAGTACACAAAAAACACAAAAGTCCAAAAAATATGACCAATATTATTTTGTGTTTTATGATTTTTTTTTATTTTAATTTTTTTATGTGCTGCAGAATTTTTGATGAGAAAAAATGTCAGTCTGCTCAAGAGATCATTATTGGATTGGAATATGACAAGAATTAGGTGGAACTTGTAGCCACTGACCTGGAACTGGTCTGTTGGAGAAAATGGGACAGATTGATGTGAGAGGCCAAATTAATTCTGACGGGTTTGAAGAATTTAGCTCATCAGATGCTCTTTCACAATCTTCATCACTATAATCTGCATAATCTGAAGCTTAGTCTGCACTCCTAAGACAGAAGGCTATTATTTAGCATGTCTGACCTGTATTTATTTGGAGCATGAAGATTTCATTGTGCTCTTGTTCTTTTAACTCTGGGCTACATGTAAAAACTGGTCATTTTAGATGGAAAACCTGTTTAGTGTGCCAACTTAAAGGTGTCGTAAATTGAGTTCTGTGCCCTCGGCATGAGTGGAATACAATAAACAGAGTATTTGTCTACAATGTAGCTATATAACAGGGATACGTTTCTGTGCTTCTAGGRCAATCTGTTTCTATTCTGAAAGATGGGAAATTCTTCTTAAAATAAAAATACAAGAAATACTGTGATAGATAGGCAACCTGTCTAGGGATAAACCCTGGACAGGTTGCCCTGGATTTCTTTTGCTATATACAGTTTGTCATAGCTCACAAAGATTGCAATCGAAATTGGACTCTTTTTTTTTGAGGAGACCCCTGAGAGACACTGTACAGCTTTGACATTTCCATGGCATTTTGTCTCTGCTGAAATTTTTTTTATTTCTGGATTTCTGTAGATCCACTTAGTCTGCTGCTGATCTCCAGTATGACCTCTACTTTTGGATATTTATTCGACATATTTCAAACTRTTTTTTTTCTGCATAACTCCTACCACCAAGCATATTTGTCTAACATAGGCAGAGACTAATGGCAGATTTGGAAGTGCAGATGAGAATACATGAGAGTACAAGACCGAGAACTCAAGCTTGACCGTATGACGATTCTTGCTGAGAGCCTTCATGTAATATTGGTTGTGCAGTGCCAGCTTTCATCAGTGGAGGTGCAGGATGGGTGCAGTCACCATAAACCCACGAACCAGGGAAGCCTCGTAGAAAAGAGGTTGGGCTAAAATAGATTTGACACAATTAGGCCATGTTGGACTTCTCTGTGATGTGGCTGGATGCACATGTAGAACTTAGGACTTCAAATGCAATGTTCACACATTTAAAACAGGTAAAACTTGTGTGTGTGCTTAAAGGATTTGATTAAAGACTGTTGTGGTGTTTGTTGGGTGTGCTTCTCATTGAATTCAGTTCAGAACTGACAGTTCTGTTTTGGGCCATGTTTTTGTTGAAGCAAAAAATGGTAAAGTCAAGCTGTAAAAAATATAAAAATCCAGACTTGTTTGCAGATGTTTTTGGAAATGTGTAATTGGACCTACAACCTGAGCCAATTCCCTAGCACCAATATAAATAGCCTAAGCAATAAAAATACATAAAAATAAATAAAAACTACCATCATTGTATTGTCTACTTTATTTTGAGAAMTGTTTTCTGCTTTCTGTTTTAAGAAAACATGGCACACAAAAGCCTTTTTATGAGTCTAAACACATCAAATTTTCCATTTAATTTTCTATGGGTTGTTYCTAGATAAAGTGCACACGTTTCAGTTGCCCTTCACCCAAAATAAAATCAGTATTCCTTATACACGTGCATTAACTAAATGTTTGTGACACCTTTTGGCTAAGATGTAAGACTGCATATGTGGCCTTAACCCTGAAAATGTCAAGTCTTTGTGATTGATCTCCAAGCCAACACATGATGCTCTCCCATGTTTACCCACTGGTCAGGTTTTCGCAGCTGATTGATTGGCCTCTGGTTTGCAGCCAGAGAA